ACAATGGTGGGGGGCATTATCTGAGGGAGTTGGAGGTGCTGGGTGGAGGAGAGAAGGGGGAAACTTGGAACTGTAATAGCATAATCAATAAAACATACCTAAAAAAAGAAAGAAATGAATGTAATGTACTCCATGTTCAAAATAGACCGTCTTTCCCTTTCGTCTCTGAATACTACTTACAAACCTCCAGGATGAGGTTGCTAATGCATTGGGCTGGGAAAAAGTTCATTTAGTTTTTTCTGTATAATGGCTCTAGTAGTGCTTAGTTGCCTTAAACTTCATTCAAAACAATTTTGTTAGATTGTATTGTGATAGCTGTTATATCAGCATGCATTAAAAAAAACTTATCAATATTGGTGAATTTTTGTGCAGCCATTTTAATATTGAAGTTGGAAGAAGATATACATTTTCAGCATATTGTTCTTTATTATTTCAAGAAAGATAAAAATGCAGCTGAAACGCAAAAAGCGATTTGTGCAAGTGAATGAAGAAGGTTCTGTGACTGATCAAACATGTCAAAAGTAGTTTTAGAAGTTTCTTGGTACTATTGACATTTTGACATTTTGGCCAAATAGTTCTTTGCTGTGGAGCTGTCTTATGCATTGGAAGGTACTTAGCAGCAACCCTGGCCTCTACCCACTAGAAGCCAATAGGGGCAGATAGACGACATACTCAGAATATCCAAATCAATAAAGTTTATTGGTGAAAATGAAAAATGTGTTATTTATTTATTGGAAAAAACTAAATGGACTTTTTGGCCAACCAAATATTTTCCATTACCAGTACCCCAGGCCGGCTGTGTGGCCACTCAATTCTGTCCTTTGAAAGGACTCTGGCCCCACCCACCAGAGCTCTACCATTAACATGCAGGTGCAGGATTACTGACCTTCTGTGGGTGACCTGCTGGATTCAGGGCAGCAGTACTTCAAAGTTAACCCAGAAATTTCTTACAGTCCATGTTCCTAGTGGACAGTGTTATTTACTTTGTTTAATAGTCATAATCTACTTCCTCTGTGTTCTGCACTTTGAATAATGATCAAACTCACCAAGCAGTGGACATCAGCAGATCTGAGATGAGTCCCAATTCCAGAGTTCTCTGAGCCCCTGGGCAAGGCACTCTAACTCTGTTTAGTCCCCTATGTTGAAACTCATATGTATATACACGTATTTATCTTAAAAGGTTATTGTGAGGATTAAAAGAGAAAACGCTTATATAATGCTCAGCACATTGCTGGGCATACTCATAATTACCAGCTGCTAAACCAATGATCAGATAAGATTATAGACATTTATAAATATCTTTCCATTTTACAAAAGCACTACCTTGAATGGCATCTGAAAAGCAATTTGGTGTCCACATTAATATTCCTCTTTGAATGTGATTTTAATATTACTGATGATTTATCTGGACTGAATCTCTTAGCCCAGTCCAAAGAGGGTTGACTGTCATTGAGCCTCTGTGCTTTAGGGTCTTGATGTTCTGAAGAAACATGGCTGTGGCTGCAGGCACTGGCTTTGGGTTGAATCTTAGGGAGTCAATTAACTGCAAAACAGATTTTCTCCTAATAATTAGAAAAAGTCTGCTAAGCTCCCAATTAAAAAAAAATTATCCAGTTTGTACTTGAAGTACATTCTCAAACTAAGCGTTAGTGTCTCTTCAATTCTAGAAAGTTCTTAGCCATATCTTTTTGACAATTGCCCTCCATTCATCCTTCTTCTGTTGCTTCTTATGAAACTTGGATTTAGAACCTGCCCCTGTTGTCTTTTAACTGCTTTATGTTAGTTCCTTATCTGTGTTGTTTTCTGAGTGGTTTCTTCAACTCCAGTTCACCAGTCCTTTTTCATTTGTATCTGATATGTTTTTCAACCAGCTGACTGAGATCTTAAATTTAATGACTATATGTTCTGTTGCCAATATTTTAGTTGGTTCTTTTTCAAATGCACATGATATAAAAGATAATTTTAAAGATAATATCCTGTTCTTTCACTACAGCTTTTATGCCATCTCTACCTTTGATGATTTTGAACTTATTCATTTTAAAATTTCAGTCAATGATTATCTTTAGTTCTTAAGATGCTAATTCTTCTATTTGTTGTATCAGCTGATTCTCCCTAACGGTACTTTGTTTTCTTGTGCAGGTCATCCTTTTTTTTTTTTTTTTAAAGTCATTGAGCTTATTATTGGTGTTGGGGATGAGGTGGGGTGGGGACTTCCTTGCAAGTCCTTTGTGTTCTGAATTACAAAAATATTGTTATGGAGCAATTAAATATTGGATTCTCCTATACTCATTTTTATGTTCATTTCTAAACTGGGGGTTTCTGTGCTACATGTCAATTTGGACCCCACACCTGATCATCATGTGAGGTAGGCATCACATTGTGATATCTGTGTGTAATTATTTCTTCTACCTGTAACTCCAGGTAGATTCAGGTCTTACTTACATGGTTCACTTCCAGGGCAATGAAGGAGATTTTTCTGGTCTTCCACTCATAGAAAGAAAATGTTTAAAGGCTCCAGTAATTTTGTCATGGGCTCAAGTCCAACTCCAAGCCTCTCATTGTCTAAAAGGTCACCATGGTATAAGATCCATTCAGATTAGGTGGCCCTCTTTGTTTCTGGACACCTGGAAATTACTTCTTGCTCGCAAGTCCTGGTATGTATGTATTAATACTTATTTGTTTTGTTCTTTTAATTTTAGTTCTTCCTTTTAAATGTTTTTTATTTTCTTGCACTTTTTAAAGGAGCATCCTCTTCTGTGTCCCTTCTACACTCTGGATTGCCCCAATATCTTTCCCTAGAGGGCACTGCTCAGGCCTGCTTGGCTTGAACTCATGAAAAATACTGACTCAAAGCATAGAGCCCAGAGCTCATTTAGTGCTTTGATTTCAACTCTGGACCTTTGGGTAAAGTTACAACAGAGTTTTTATTTTATTTCATGAATTGTCCTGAACTCGTGTGTGTGTGTGTGTGTGCATGTGTGTAAAAGCCCTAGGTATTTAATCATTTAAAAATACAAAGAATAATTTCTCATAAAGATGCTTCCTTAACTAAAGAACAAACTAGAAAACATTTCCTTCTATGAACAAGCTCTGGATTATCTCAAAATCTAAAAGATTAAATGAAGACAGTTTGTTTCCCTCTAGCACTGCAGGCAGGAGTTGTGTTTTCAGCAATAAATGGATCATACAACTGCCAGCCTAATGTTTTCAAAGAGTACCCAAGTTGTCAAATTCTTCTGAAAACTTTGGCTGAAAAGCCCACCTCCCTTTCCTATTGACATGGTGATACCCAGGCCTTGCAATAGTTATTACAGATTTTTCTTCTTTCTCTAAAAAATGTCTATGACTAGCCCTGGCTGTGCGTGTGTGTGAGTAGCTCAGTGGATTGAGTGCCAGCCTGTGAACCAAAGGATCATTGGTTCAATTCCCAGTCAGGGACCACACCTGGGTTGTGGGCCTGGTCCCCAGTAGGGGGCATGTGAGAGACAACCACACATTGATGTTTCTCACCCTCTCTCTCCCCTCCTTCCCTTCCCTCTGAAAATACATAAATAAATAGTCCCAGCTGAAGGTCAGCATTTAGGACCTATAGGAACAGAGGGAGAGAGGGCGTAGGGGATGGAGGAAAAGAGATATAGGTCTTTCTCGGGCCAGGTCCAGGCAAAGTAAGTAGGGTGCTGGCCTCAGGCATAAAATTCAGGGGGGATGCCAAGAAACTCAGTAATTAAAAGAAATGATATATATATATATTTTACATTTCATTATTTATTTAGATGTTTAAGCTCTCGCACTAGATTTTTTACAAGCTGGTGAACACTGACAAATTATTTCTCCCACAGAACTATAACCACACATTCCCAGACTGTATAAATATATGGTTGAACTAACATTAATATACATCACCATTTTATCAATTACATAATAAAACAAATTATCAAGTATCCAAATATTAAGTTACGCAGCTCAAAAGGCATATAAAATATTAGATGTCTGCTCAATTCATTAGCAGAAACCCACTTTTTTTGCAAGAGAGGGTGGGAAGGAAAAAAACCACACGTCAAACAAAAATAAGTTGGTAAACAACTTCAGAATGTATGAAAACAAATACAAGAATTTCAGAATTTTTATGATTAAGAATTGTTTTTAGGTACAACAAAGCATCTCTACCTTTACCTTTAAAAAATATTTACTAAAGAGCATTATTCTACGTGTCCCAACATTTTACTAAAAATACTTAATAGCTCCTTCCCACTCTTTGCTCAGGCCCTCCCTATAAATTGCACCCCAAGTGCAAACATTAAAATTAACTGTAAGGCTTTTTGTCTGGAGACATTAAAGACATGTGCTTCTGTACAATGTAGATTTTAAAAATGGAGGCTTTCCATAACAGCCCAAAATGAGATTTATAGAAAAACATTAAATAATCACTAAAACTTGGTATAAAAATAAAAAAGTTGAGCAAACCTGATGTATACTTGTATGAATGTGGGAGATGTAAACATAAAGTGAGCAAATAACCATATAGGCCCTACTTTCTATGTTTGAAATGACAGAAAGGATAAACCACATAAGGTCCAGAGTGTTCCTAGTTCCTGGGATTTTAGTTCTGTATGATACTAAAGTATACAAGTACTGTGCTAGACATTTTGGCACCTAATCTTTCTAAATCTCATATATTGATAAGATTCTGGCATGGGAATAGATTTAAAGATATAACTCAGTACTGTATGATTTCAGAAAAAGTCAACTGGTACAAATGATAAGCCCATTTTAAAGCTGAACAGTAAGAATCCTTTGCTAAGTGTCAAAATGGTTGATCGAAACCCAAACATACAAGTTGCAATTCTGTCAAGCTTGTGGCCTGGTAAAACTGCTTTTTAATACTCCTAAGGAAGCTTCATTAGATTTATTCACCAAGCCAGTATGTTGGCTAATGTGTATGACAAATTAGGTCCTATCTCAAGTTCCACTTCCAAGGCAATGGCATCAGGCACCCATTTTTATTGAATACAACACTTGTTTCTATGACCATTGGAGTCTTTGAAGCGCAGCTGCATTTTAGGACAATACTTCTCCAAATACAAAAGCTGCTTGCTGTTAAAAGCTCCATGCCACTTTTGTCTTATGAACTCTACTGTGTCTTCATATTTCATTCCACCTTCAATTAATGCCAGGGCAACAAGCACCGGAGCCCTCCCAAGGCCCGCAACACAATGAACAGCAATACAACAACCAGGTTCTTCAAGAAACTTAATTTTTACAAGACTTAACCAGTCATCAACAGTCTGGTTGGATGGTGGTACACCATCATCAAAAGGCCAATCAAGAAGATGGATGCCTTCTTTCTCCACAAGAGTAGTGTCATAAGTTGCTTCACATACTCTAACTATTGTGGTAACTCCATACTTCTTAAGTTCCTCTATAAATTTGTTTAAGGTCGCATTGGTTGGATTGTATATAATAAATCTCGTGTTCTTGTAGGTGACTTCCACAGGAGTGGGGCGGTTCATGCGAGCCATGTTAATTTAGTTAAAAAACACTCAATGGGGTTATGAATGAATTTAAAAATTGAACACAGAAATGATGCAAAGAAACTGAGTCTACTTCAATATACTCCACTTGAAATTCTCAGTGCTTTGAGTATGAAGTTGGGAGTAATGGGAAATGAAATGAACCTCCTAACAAGAAGCAGTAATTCTTCAATCCAGTAATACTGAGGCAACAGAAAGGAAGTGCACTGAGGTTTACCCCATCCAGGTCAGAACTCTTGTAAAATGCTCTGCAGATTTCAATTCCATACTTCTGTGTCCAGGTTAACCATGGGGGCTTCTTGGTGGAGTAGTAATGGATTTCTACAGTTCACTTGTCTGCATAGAGGTCATGCTGTGCCTGGCAGTAATCTCCACTGCCCTTCAGAAACTCCATAAATGTGTGACCAAGAACACCACAGAACTGAGGAATATGTTTACTCATTGAAGATTGTGGCCTAATCATACAGCCAGCTCCGAGGCGGCGGCGACACAGACGGCAGAGGTGGCGGTGGCGGCAGGGCAGGGGGCAGCGGTGGTCGTGGCGGCGTGGCGAAGGATTTGCAGACAGCGGGGTGGGTACCAGACTCTTACCATGCGGTGAACGGCTCCGAGGAGAGTGCGTAGCCAAGTCGGCCCGCAGTTGACGGATCCAATACGTGCGCCCAAGAAATGGTATTTTATTGCAATATTTAAAAAATAATCCAATTGGCAAACTATGAACCCTGGGTCATCACCTGCTTTGGTTAATGTTTTATAGAAATCAGGACCATGATTTCTGTTACCTAAGTGTCTAAGTCAGATACTGTCTGTATTTAAAATACTGATATTTTGCTCATCAGGGGACTTTTTGCATTAATTTTGATTTTTTACAATATTGTCTTAAAATATTATTTATCATCATTATCTGCTAAAATTACTTTGTGCCCAAGGAGGATTACTCACTTATATCACCCTTAGATGTTAAGATGTTACAGAGAAATGGCGATGTTGGAGCGGTTATATTCCATGGCTAGCTATAAAGCACTAAATCGACACTCTGGGAGGTGATTTTCTTTAAGGTGTTTAACCCCCAGTTTTCTCATCTGCAGCATGGAGGCAGTGACAGTATTGACTTTATAAGGCTTTGTGGAGGATTAACATAGGCTGCTCAGCACAGTGCCCAACACTTGGGAGCAGCGAGCCTACACTAGTAGCTGCAATAATAGAAATGAATGGTAAGTTTAGGAAGTTCTAAACAAAGGCAGATTGTTTAGGGCCTTGCTTGTCTTTATAACGATTTTTTTTATTGTGGCAAAACACAGATAACATAAAATTTATCGTTTTATCCACTTTTAAGTGCACAGTTTTGTGGAACTAAGTGCATTCACATTGTCTGCAACCATCTCAGAACTTCTAAAGGTTTTGAACTATATCGTACAAGGTTAAAAGGATGATTGAAGGCTCTGGAGCAAGAATCCAGCCTCCAGGGTCATGTGAGGAAACGGAACCTGGAAGGAGAATCTAGAATGATGCAGAGGAGGAAAGGACAGGAGGCAGGAACCAGGAGAGTCCGCAGAGGTCCATATGTGAAACGGCTCAGGCGTTGCCCAGGGAGGTGACATATGGAGGAGAGAGAAGCGACAGAGAAAGAGGCTGCGGAACCTCATTAAACAACAAGAGGACAGAAGGGTGGAAAGAATCAAATGTGTGAGGTAAGATTTTGGAAAAGGACACAACTAATTGAAAAGTTCCTTTAGGTGTGGAAACAGTAGACTGAGGGTCAGACTGATGCTTCTCCCTCACGATAGTGTCCTGAAATCAGCTCCACTGCCAGAGCCAATTTCTAATTTTTCAGAAATTTTAAGAGTCAGTTGTTAAATATACCATAATTAAATAATTAAAAATTAAATATAAATTTACAATTAAATAAATTACATTAAAAGTAAAGGTTATAAATACAGTATTCATCACTTCCTAATTATTTCACTACATTTAATATTACCTCAGCTTTTGAAGCTATTTAATATATTGTATCTGTGTAGTCAAATGCCATAGAACACTATGCCCCTGTATGTCTCTTCTCAATTCCACGCTCACTGATATCCTGTTAGTACCTAGAAACTGGCCATGGTGTGAGTATTTGTACCAGAAAATTTGGTAAGGCTACAAATTGGGGCTGGATTCATTGTCTAGACTCTAGGTGGTCATGGAAAAAATGTTAATAATGCAGGTTATGCTTAAAAGTGTGTTCCATCAGTAGCTAGCATTCTAGAACTATACGTTAAATCAAGGTTTAATGGCTGCAAATACAAGAGGGCAGCAAAAATCAAAAAAGCCTTCTCTGACAATTGGGATCTAACATTAAGTATATTGTTTGTTTTGTTATTATATGTAAATTGCATGCCACAATAAATTAAGTGCATAAATATTTTTGAAGAATCAGTTGAAGAACATCTACCAGCAGGTTACTGACCATAATCTCTGATAAAGAAAATTACTCTATGGCATGCATTTATGATTATATCCACCTTAAACCTGTCTTTTTGAAAAGCGAATGCCTTGTTCTCTAGTCAAAATGGAAAACTGGGTACATCCTTCACCTAGAAAACACTAAAATGTTTTTTCTCAAAGAAAGCCATAGAAATTCCTATACCTGAATGTTTTATTTTTATCGCCAGCACTAGTTAGCATTTTTTTTTAGTACTATTATGTACAGGCCACTATGCAATGGGCTTTATTCACATTTCAGTCCTCACTCACCCCTCCAAGGTAGGTCCTAGCGTTATCCTCACTTCATGCATGGAGAGACTAAGGTAGCCTTATTCTCCTCAGCCTGTATAATTAGGAAGAAGTGAAGTTAAGATTTGAGTGCAGATCTTTCTAATTTTTTTCCAACCTCTTGATTCTGATGCTTTCTCTACTATATTACCTCCAAAAATTTATATAGAGATAAAAGCTTCTACTTCAAAAAGATGCAATATTTCGGCAATAGTTATAGATCATCTACTTTGTCCCCATGCTGTGCTGAGCACCAGGAAATTCACATAAGTCTAAGAAGTGGCCTTTGAGTCCCAGGAGCTCATCCTATTTACAAGCACTTAGTGCTCAAGTGTGCAGTGTTCTCAACAGCTCCCACTTCTACAGTCAGGGGATTCACTTTCCAAACAAGCTGCTCTGTCCTCACAGATGACTCCAGTTTGGATTCATTTGCTCTGAGGCCAAGATGCTGATTTCTTACGTCTCTTATACTCATCTCCTAAATCTCCCTTGAAGAATTCCCTTGATTCTCCTCCCCCACCACACTGGCCCAGAGCTTTTTAAGGCAAGTTGAATGATGATGCAGAAATCAAGCAGTAGGTACCTCCAGCCAGGAGGTTCTTACAGGTGGTACAATTATCATTAGTTACAGAGCCTCAAAGGAGAGTCTCCAATCAAAATTTTGTACAGTTGTGCATGCTCTCAGTTCCTCTACCTGGGGTGTGTCCAAAATGAGAATTTCAAGGGCTTTTGAGCACTATTGCTTCCCAAGTGGATCAATACAAGAGCATTTGACACTGGAGACCTGGAATCTGAGATGCACTGGAAGATATTTTCAATGTTGGATGGTCCTAAAATTCTTCTTTTCTTAACTTTTCAAGACAAGCCCAAGTTTACAAACACCACATCCACAGTCAGCAGGAATGGGATGGTGCTTTGAAGACACTGCTTCTTATTCCTTACTTCCTCTTTCTCCACTTCCAAGATATGTTCCTTATCTTCTACTTTCAATCTATGCCACTAAATAAGACATAAGTCAGAAATAATGTTGATAAGCATCTGCGATACAAACAGAAACTCCAATGAAGCAAGATACAAATAGGTCTGCTAAAGATAGAAAAGAGAGCCTTCTGTTCACCAATGATTAAAAATAAAGATTCTAAAACATTAAGAACAATATAAATAAACCAAATATAAATAAGCATGTATTTAATATTTATATAAATGTTTGGCTAAATGGATGTGTGTGTGTGTGTGTGTGTGTGTGTGTGTGTGAGAGAGAGAGAGAGAGAGAGAGAGAGAGAGAGAGAGCAAGAGATGACAGGGGTCTGGGACTGAAAGAAGCCAGTGTGGCTTCAGCTTGTGCTGGGAGAGTTGATCTGTCCACCTGCCCAGGAGAAACTAAATATAACATCCTTAGGCATAAAAAGAACCTCTCACATATGGACCATGGGGATTCAGTTCATATTCTTCTCCACTTTCTCTCTCACTGTCTCTTTTGCATTTGAGGGGGAAGTATTTCCTATGCCATTCACTTTCTTAGCTCTCAAATAGTATATGAGACTATAGAGAGAACTAAGGTACTTAAATGTCAAGATTTGTAAAATCTGGCAAACTGGTCCCACAAGGTTTGCAGTTGGAGTGATGGCTCTATATCAGGCTTGGTGACAATGATAAGAAAGGGGCCTAAGCAGGTAGTACTCACAGCAGACACTTGCTCAGTCCTTATTCTGTTCCGGGCACTGGTCTGAGAGTATGTATTTATTCATCTAATCCTTCCAATGACCTTGAGAGATAATAGCAGTATTATTATTATCATTACTATTAAATCCTTTTTGCAGATGAAAAAACTGATGTCTGAGAGATAAGTGACATGCCTAAGTCCTCACAGCTAACAAGTATGAGACTTGAGATTTGTCCCTGCATTCCACTAGAGACCAGTGGTTCTTAAATAGGGGCGATATTGCCCCCACATGATATGTGGCCATTATCTGGAAACATGAGATCAAATGTTTAAGCTGTTAGTAGTTTGATTTCCCCATTGGCCCAGTGAACTACCCTACTTTCATGTTCTTTGGTGCAGAGAGCAAAGTCCTCCCGAATGACCTTGTGCTTGGCTTCTGTCTGACTTTGGCAGGAAGCCCCTGACTGTTTTTTAGGTAGAGATACAGTCTTAGAAACCTCATTCTAGGTTTCCTAAATCCTTATATTCATCCTATCTGAATGCATGCACTGTCCTTCAGCATGCTACCCAGGGGATTCTGAAGGCTAAAAGCGTGATTCTTATTAAGTCAGATGACATGCAAAATACAAAGAGGTGAA